AGAGAGAGAGAGAGAGAGAGAGAGAGAGAGAGAGAGAGAGAGAGAGAGAGAGAGGGCATTAGAAAGTCTATGCGACAATGTGCTGAAAATCACGGTACCGTTAAAACATCGGTCGAGATGTGCCGCGATCCAAACGAATAGATATTAATTTGTCACGTTCTTCCTCTGCCTCGGCAGTGGGATCGTTCTGAAACTTTTTCCTCACACTGAAACATTAAAGAGTCTGCACGAATTGCCTACCTCCTCGAGTGAAAGTGACCGGACCTACCGGGCACCTTCACATACAAAGAGGCACTACGTGATCCGGAAGTTTGTCCGCTCTGTTTATCGTAAATCTGCCGAATAGTTTCAAAATCCGTCCGAAGGGTTTCCGCTGGTCGACGAAGATAAAGTCCAAAGGTTGCGACCTTATGGTGTACAAATGACGACGGAGACGTCTGAATGAGTCGGGCTATGAATGAAGCAGATAGCGAACCAAGAACGAACGAAGAGGGATCGTGTTCTTCTTCCGAGAAAGACTCTTGTGACGCGTCGAATCCTTTCGCCGTTGGGTCTCATAATTTGCCGTTAAAGCGATTTTTTAGAACAAAATACCACTGTAATGACTTCCCGCTGTGCGGTCAGTTAGGATATAAAACGTCACTGTAACGGCTATCTTCTACAAATTACACTGAGAGTGGATAGTTTGCCGTTGCTACACAGAGGAAAGAATATTTCGTAACTACGAGGCGCAAATTTAACAGTTGCATCATGCGAACCGTTCGTTTATGCCAATCATATTTTGTTGCTTCTCCAAGAAAAGTAGCAGTTGCAATATGCGTACAGGGTTACTTTGCAACCCGCTGTACAACGAATTACAGCGGTGTGAAGTAATCCACTCTCAGTGTAATTTGTAGAAGATAGCCGTTACAGTGACGTTTTATATCCTAACTGACCGCACAGCGGGAAGTCGTTACAGTGGTATTTTGTTCTAAAAAATCGCTTTAACGGCAAATTATGAGACCCAACGGCGAAAGGATTGGACGCTGATCGCGCTGTTATGAACCATTAAGGCCCGTCTACATAGGCCGCAAAACGCAGTTCGCAATCGCGCACACATCCAACTTCAACTTTCTGCGTTTTCTCTGCGTTTGCAGAGTTGAAGTTGGATGTGTGCGCGATTGCGAACTGCGTTTTGCGTGTTGCGGCCTATGTAGACGGGCCTTTACTCGCACAAGTTCAGCGGCAAAGCTGCGCGTCCACTCTGTGGTGGAGCCCTGCGTTCAGCTCAGCCGTGTGGCGAAAGGGCTCATCGCGAATATGGATACGCGGAGGAGCGTCGCGAGAATATTCACCCGTCTAACGTGGTCTTCCTCCTGTTTCTGTTGCAGAATACAAGTTCTCCATGTACACGCCGAGCATGATCGCGGCGGCGAGCGTTGCGGCGGCGTTGCACGGGCTCGACTGGACCGGGAAGACCGGCTGCGGATTAGCCGGTCTCTTGGACGAGCTCACCCGTATCACTGCCATCGAACAGGTTAGTCACCGGATCTGACCTCTCCCCCGCTCCTCCCGCACTCCTCCCATCTGTCTCCCCCTCGTGAAGCAACGTACTACGAGCGTACTACAAGTTGCTGGCAAACATGCCACATAGTACGTGGCGGCGTAACGTAAGATTCCATTATGAGATAGCCGAGAGTTCCCTCGCGCAGCCACAGCACAGCTGGGCGGCGATGTAATTTCCCTTACGAGTGGGAGCGCGAAAGAGCTGGGAAGTTTTACGTGAACTCGGCGACCATAGCGGTTGTGTAACTTTCGGAATTCTGAAAATATAAAGAGCTTTCTACGTGAAGCTTCACTTTTCGCAAGAATTGCGCACTTCCATAGCCCGGAAAGTCACATGATCGCGAGCACGTAAGTGCTATCTACGTTCTTGAACGTCTGTGCATATGCACGTGGTAAGACGTTCGCGTGGTTGAGCGAACGCGGGACACTTCTCAATGAGATCATCCCGTCTGGTTGACGAGAATCGAGACCGAGACCGAGACGAAATCGGCAAGAAACGATAGAACGCCCTTCGCAAGTCCGTCCGTGGAAAACGAAGGAGAGAAAGAGATACGGAGTCGCGGGGCGCAAAAAGCGCGACGGGAAGCGCGCGGGGAGGGTGGCTGGCCAGCAGGTGCCGGGCACATGTTCGCACATACGCGGAGAAAAAAGGCCCCGGAGTCTCTGCGGGGCCCGTATGCGCGTCGTCGGACGGTGGCGCGTTGGAGTCCAAGATCGCCGTTTCGTCTCGCCCTTTATCTCTCGCCTGCGCTCTCTCTCCCTCTCTCTCTCCCTCTCCCCTCTCTCTCTCTCTCTCTCTCGTTCTCTCTCTCTCTTTCTCCTTTTTCTTTCTCTATACGCCTAGTACAAATAAACCGCGCGAATGAATGGCTCGGCATGGGGTCCGTGACCCGTAAGCGCAATATTTTCAGCGGCCCGCGCTCTCGTCGTCTCATATGTTTGGGCCTCGAGCAGGAAGACGCCGTCCTCGAGACCATCCGGGATCTTCATTCATGACCTCGGACCACAGCCGTTATTTGAGGGCCCCGACGGACGTTCGGGAAACGTCTTGGAGCTTTAAGCTCGACGGGGGTAACTCGTGACGCTCTAAGCCACTCGATCGCACTTTCGAACCACTAAATGAGATCTAGAGAAGTGGATGCACACAGGGGCGACAAATTTTGAAGAAAGTCGCAATGACATAGAATTCGGTCTCTTTGCTTGAGAACAGTCTCATTTCGTTCCGGTCAGATTTGACTTTGAGGTATCCGAAACAAAGAAATTCATGCCTGCGATGCGACTGTGACATTCTGGAAAAAATATTTCAGAAACAACTACATTTATATGCGTGCAAATAAGAACCTGTTCCCCCTTCTTTCTCATATAATAAATATCGAGAATTTAATATTACATAGGTCTGTTCTTTATCGCTGAACTAGTGTACTCTAATGGAACTTAAAAAGAGGCAGACATACAGTTGAGTCTAGTGGAACAAAAGAGGAGGAGAGGACTATATATAGTGCAAGCTATAGTGCAACCAGTTCAGCGATAGAAAACAAGCCTAATGACTGCTCTTGATATTGGCGGAGCTTTGAACAAAATGCCACCTCGTTTGTTCCAGGACTATCTGCAGGGCTGTCTGGAACAGATCGAGGAGATGGTCCAGGCGCACGTGGGTGCCGAAGTTGCCGCCGGAAGCGGGCATCAGGTAACGAGCACCGGCGGCGGCCCGAGCGCACCGCAAAGGCCGCTGGGGGACCAGAACACAAGTCAGGAGAAAATACTGGAGCACGAGAAGGCAGGCACGCCGACCGATGTCAGGGACGTACATTTTTGAAAACCGCAGCAGGGGGACACTCCGCAGGGACCGACACACCGCCGGTGAGTCTCTATGCCGAGGAAGAGAGAATAGGCTCCAGCAGTAGCGGTGAGGAGGACGAGACCGACGGGCAGCCGAGGAAGAAACGAAGGAGAAAAAGCTCGAACGAGGAGGACGAGAAAGGCGCGGTAGATCCTCCCGAGGGCGAAAAATGCACGGATCCGCCGTCGCCACCGCCGCCCCCGCCGTCCGATCATGCGAAGAGCGAAACTTCTCCCGAAGAATCTCGAGATCAAGCCTGATCGCTCGTCGATTGATCGCGTTAGATTGGAAAGCCCATGTCGTTCCGTTCAGCCTCGTCCCGTCATGTCGCGTCGCCTCGCTCCTCCCTCTCTCTCCCTGCCCTGACCACATCTACGTGGCGGCGTGTTTCGAATGGCGAGCGCGAGAATCGATTTCGGCGCGAAACCGGCGGGACGTGACCGAGCGAGGGTGAAATTTTTGCGTTCTCGAATCTTCTGTCTACGTGAGACGTAGTCAGACGTGTACAGTAATGTGTTCCGGAACGTCGGGAAGGTGATGCATGGCAGAGAAATTTTTTCGTTGTTTTTTATTTCTTCTTTTATATACACATACACGCGCACACGCACATACATACACACACGTGATCCACACAATGACGCCTCCGAGTATTATGCATTTAATTTACGACGTATGTGCAGTTACACATTGTCGTTGCGACTCTACATTTTTGGCAGGTATGTTTCAAGAGGATTTGTTTCCCGCGCGAGCTGCGTCGACGGATCATAATCACACGCGATTTTGATTTGATTTCTAATCGAAGGACAAGCGATTCTCGGTTGATAGAGGAGGGCGCGTTTCGACCACTTCGGGGAGACCGTCGCGCGTGGTCGGCTGCGTGGTGACGCTGCGCCGCCACGTGAACGGCAGACGATCGAAAACGAACGAAGAGAGACAAACGATTGCCGCGATTAAGGCGTGTTGGAGACGATGCGAAAGAAACGTGTGGGCCGAGGACCACCGTGCGAGAGAGGTCCCATTGTGTCTGAATCCGCGCCGTTCCGACGTGTGTCGCCCGTAGTAGAAAAAAAAAGTACGAATGGCGAGAAAGAAGGGGAAAAAGAAGAAGAGAAAGAAAGAAACGATCGCAGGAATTAAGAAGGCGTGCTGTTTGGGGGAAGGCAATGCAATACGCTTTACGCATCGTATAATTTCGTAATAGGAATACATACACTTAACTTTTCTTTTATAGAACGAGAAACTAAAGCGCCCCGTTATAATTAACACGAAAAGAAGAGGGGGAGGGGGGATTTAACGTATATTACACGAGGGGGAGACTCGTCTCTCCGCGCGCGCGCGAGTACTAAAAAGAAAAAAAAATTCACGTAGTCATATCGAGTCATTTAGCGTTTTGTACATAGATATACGCGTACGAATAAAAGAAAATGAGAATATATATATTATATTGAAAAAAAAATATATAAATATCTATATATATATATATATATATATATATTTGTATGTGTGAGTGTGCGTATGCGTGTGTAAACTGATGAGAGTGAGAGAGAGAGAGAGAGGGAGAGAGAAAGTGTGGTACAATCGAAAGTAGGGAAGAATACTCGGACCGTGTTACGTGCGATATCGAATCAGGTTGAGACATCTTATGTTGAGAAATTTTGGAATATCTTCATACAGGAAACGTGTGCTCGAAAATGCTTTGATAGCGTGTAGAACTTTCTTTCTAAGTGTAAGAACACTCGCGTTTTTTCCCCGGGAATGTCATGTTCGTCGACGAGAGAGTCGTCGAACGAAACGTTTACATAATTGAAGATTTCCCCCCTCCCCCCCTTCTATTCGAAGCCGCTGCCTTATATCGCGCGACTCGGTCCGATGGTATTCTAGAGTCTCGTCCTGGGACGTTCGCACTTCGGACATTGAATCCAAATGTACGACGCGAATCTGTTTACCCTTAGAATTACGCGACACGATCGTTCGTTCGTTTATTGCTCTGCGGTTCCTAGGAAGGGTCGCTGCGCTGTGACCCGCCGTAATGTGCGTAATGTAGTAATTCGAGCGTGACAGAATGATTTCCGCCAAGTGTATGCACGTGTCGTTGTGTGTGTGTGTGTGTGGGTGTGTGTGTGTGTGAGAAAGGGGTGAGAGCGAAAAAAAAGAGGAAGATAGAGTGCGTGAGAGAGAGAGAGAGAGAGAGAGAGAGAGAGAGAG